TTTCCCTCTGGGGCCTTTTCTGATGCTAAAAGCAAAGTTATTTTTAAATCTGTTTTAGACGTCTTGTTTTCCTTGTCTCTACTTTCACCTCTGCAAATTGGACCTTAGATACATTACTGGTGAATCAGCAAATTACTTTCAACCAGGAAACTGACAGAAATAACACAATTTTTTACTCATCTGGGGCATTACTTGGTCACCTAACACCCTAGATGTCATTCTGGGTGCCTTAATGTTTGCTGATAAAGTAAACCCAAGTTTTCTTCTCTAAGACAAGATTAACATGGGAAATGTGTGCTATATGGAGGTTGGTGTAATAAAAGGTTAACTTGACATTTAAAGGTTTAAAAAAAGAGCACACGGAGGTTTCTGATAGTAATTATACATTTCAGGTTTATAAATTCAAGAGAATTTTTTTTCCTTACAACACCCAAGGGTTGGTATACAATGCTATTATACTGAATATCATAAATAAACACATCATAAAGAAAAACCTTTGCACTTTGTATGGAGACTTTCCTGCCAATTTATCTATAAGTTGAATCTGTGTACTTGTCAATGAGAAGGTAACTAAATTATTGCTGGCAATTGCATGTGTTTATTGAGGAGTAGTCAAATGCTTTCAAATATTATTTATTTAATAGACATTCTAAAAAATTAAACTTGAAGATATTGAAATTTATTTTACAGAGGGGCAAATTTTTTAGACTAAATCAAAATAGCTTTCACTATAAAATAAATCCCTCTGAAACATTCTTTGTAATGGTTAGAAAGGAATTTGGCAGTTTGAATTGAGAGACTTAAAAGTAGTCATAGTCTTTGTTCCCTGTAATACCACTTAATGAAAATCTATCCTAAGGAAACAATCAAATATGTGACAAAAGACTTAATGAGTAGTATGTTCATCACAACCTAATTATATAGGGAAATAAAAGGAAATAATACAAATGTCTAATATTAGATAAGTGATTAAATATATCATATCCATGTATTGGAAGTCTATGTTGTCATTAAAAATCATTTGCATTTCTAAAAGTCTGTGTAATTCCACAGGAATTTTTATGCAGACGCACTTTAGCTAACTTATCCCAACTTTGAAAATACACATATGCAAATAGAAAATAAAAGACTGATACATGATAACCATTATTATTTTGATGTGCCTCTAGCTGGTGGAATTATATTTTTTGTTTTCTTTTTAAAAATGCTTCTCTATTTTCCATATGACCTAATGAATTATTCCTAATGAATACTTATTTAATTTTTAAAAGTCATTTGCTAGTTTTCTTGCTTAGCTACCTTTCCTTTAAGCCAGTACCTAACTCAAGAGTCAGCTAAAAAGGAAGTTGTTAAAGATGATGGAGAATGGAAGGGAAAGCTACCCCTTTCTTCCCATATTAGTTTTATTTTTATAGATATAAAACGCACATGTATCTTTCCCCAGAGTAACTCAAAATAAATAAATAAGCAAAAAGCAAACAAATACAGGATTTCTTGGAGCCTTATGCCTTGCTGAATTTAAACTGCGGTTGGAGTATGGTTTCACCTTTCAGAAATTGTGAAACTTCAAGTGAAGGTCATTGAGAGTGTCAGCCTTTTAAAAGTGATAGGAGAAAAATAGTCCGCTTAGCTTTTTGCAGATCTCTCCAAAGAGGAAGAAGGAGTAAAGTACAGAAGCAGCCTGGTGACAGCCCTGCCGAGCCATCACAGAGGAAGGCGCAGCCTTGCAAGATGTTTACATGATGTTGAAACCAGTGGTGACACCAGTGGCCAACACAGAGACACGGCCTTTCCACGCCCCACGATTCATGGAACTGTGCTAAGCAAAAAACAGCATCTTGAGAAATAAAAGGGGGAGGGGACTGGAGGAGATTTTTAAAGACTCAAAGAAATCTAAGTTTAGAAGAGATTATATTAACAAAATAGAAAAGTAAAGGTTCTATGGAGATTCACGTGGAACTGTATCCAGATGGCTTAGAAATCCTTAGTAGTAGATTTCTGGGGACTTAGTTAGAAATCTACTTTATACCTCTCAAGGGTACCATGGGCAAGTAACTTAACCTTTCTGAATCTTAGTTTGTTATCTCTAAAATGGGGGTAATAATGGTATGTAATTCATAGGGTAGCTATGAGTAGGTAAAAATTTTAGCACAGTGTCCTATTTATCAAAGATTCAATGAATAGGAGTTTTTTCTAATAATCACTATGCTTGTATTAATGCACATTTTATCTCATAAAAATGTAAATACTTTAAAATTCAGTACATTTTACTGAGTTTTATCTGTATTAAAAGGAAATACAGCCACTCTTATAGCCTATTCAAGCTTTAAGATCTTATAAAACTAATAGCTATTTGATTATGACCGACAATCTGTTAGTAAATGCATGAGGTTACACTGTACAAACGTCCCACTCTGTTTCATGAATAGTGACCTCACAGTCAAAGCTAATAATTGAAGTTCTCCCCCAGTCTTGCCACATTTTAACATATGTGTATGTATGTGCACATGTGTGCATGTATGTGTGTGTGTTAGGCATGAATGGGTAGATATATTTGATTTTCCTATCTTTTCTAGCTTCTGTGGAAAAACTACACTGAAATAATAATTCTAACAACCAAATGATTTTCTGAGAGGATGGGTATTTCTCAAATGTTCACTTATGTTCCATTTCTACTCTTCCTCTAGGGACATGACATAGGTAGGTCTTAGTCTTCCAAAGATATTCTGGGAAGCACTTTATTTTCCTGCTGTTGTTATGCCTTACTATTGTGGCCAAATCTTTTAAATTTCCCCTCACCTCTCTAATGCTTGGCACTCAATGCTGAAGCTAACCACTTATGTCTAGCTTTTTTTCTTTCTTCCCATTTAAGATATTACTTAAATCTTGTTGCATAGGTTAAAGCAGTATTCTGATCCATTTGGGTTCTACCTACCAAATACCAACCCTCAATCACAAAAGATATTAACCAAAAGTGAACTGGGAGTCCTTCAAGAAAGTCAGGATGAGAATGATTCTCCAGTTGTCTTCTTAGGCATTCATAAACCAAACCTGCCCCACAAGTGCTTCTTAGTTTGTCTGAAGAATCTGTGTGGAAAAAAATTTTTCAATAAAATTATCTGTTGAGATAAACAAGTTTGCCCAACCATCTACATATTCATTTCTTGCCCCTAGGACATTTTTGTGCCCTGCTACCACTTATGCCAATTTCGTATGAAGTGGACAACATTTGGACTCACTCTATTACAAGGGAGATGGGCAAAAGCAAGCCTCAGTGAGGCATCACAACCATCATCACAGAGCAGTTCTGTGGCTTCCTATTTCAGCTCCTCCAATCTCCCTGCAGGATGTTGACTTTTTTCTCTTTCTTTAATATGCTGAGATATAAACATTAGAAAGCTGTGGATAAGAATATGGATATTCAAAGTGGGTAATCTAAATTGTAAGAATGTACACTTTTTATATTGGACTCAGTAAAGTTATTATCAATTTGAAGAAGGGAAACATGTACTCTGTAAACCTATTTCATGTGTTGTCTCTTAGTTAACATGAGGTGATCGGCACTGACCTAGAGCGCTCTCCCAACATGTTTTCCTCATTAATATTCAATGGTTCTAGGAAGTTGGCCCATTACTCAGAAGTTAACGATCTTTTTTTTTATGCTTGCAGAGCTGACCAACAATCTAATAAATGCAATTAGTACTATTACAGAAATATTTTTAAAATCAGAATGACAGAACACAAATGATTGTAAAAGAACATTTCATGAGGCCAGGCATGGTGGCTCATACCTGTAATCCTATCACTCTGGGAGGCTGAGGTAGGCGGATTGCTCAAGGTCAGGAGTTCAAAACCAGCCTGAGCAAGAGCAAGACCCCCTCTATACTAAAAATAGAAATGAATTAATTGACAACTAAAAATATATAGAAAAAATTAGCTGGGCGTGGTGGCACATGCCTGTAGTCCCAGCTACTTGGGAGACTGAGGCAAAAGGATCACTGGAGCCCAGGAGTTTGAGGTTGCTGTGAGCTAGGCTGATGCCACGGCACTGTAGCCTGGGCAACAGAATGAGACTCTGTCTCAAAAAGAAAAAGAAAAAAAAAGAAGAAAAAGAAAATTTCATGCCAAAAGCACATGGCCAAGTGAGAAAAAATAAGGAATATTTATCAACTTTAAGAAAAAGGAAATTTCAAGCAAAATTTTGAGAACAAACTGCCATTATGAACTGTATGTAACTACAGTGATCTCATAAAAACAAATGTTAATGGTTGATAATTAAAGTTTTGTTACTTATGTGTGACAGCCCAAACATATTGTTTTATTAAAAAGAAGCATTAATCTGTAGTATATCTTCTTAGCCTATGAGTTCACCCTTCTTCTTGGTATTTGTTTATATTTAAAATTACATAGCTAGTCACTGTGGATATTACTATACTAATATGGCTTTCTTTTCAGTCGTTAAGATCTTTTTACTATTACTCTTCCTCTTTGAACCTAAAACACATAGCCAAGAAAGCTTGTTTGTATTCTGTTTAGAAAGTGGGTATTTAATTAGTGCCACTTCTGTAAACACACCATGTTTAAACTGATTACATTTGTTACACATCACCTCCAACTATACCTTTAGAAGCTAAATCACTCTTCCTCATCAGCTATCATTTATGTCTTATTAGCATCAAGAGGAAATGAAATGAAGTCACACCCATTTAATTTTGCCTCAGGACTCTCACATTTAGCTACTATGTTGATGGTGCTTGTTTATGATGGGAAGCATTAGAAAAAATGAATCATTTAATAATGTTATATAAGGTGATGAGCGCACATTGTTACAGTCTACTATGTCACAAACGTACTTCAATCATAATTCCTGGAAGAACTGCACTAAAATAAGGCATGAAATTTTGTTATTGTGTTGCTTTGTTAAAGAACATACTAGCTAAAATTTTTCCCACCCCCTTTCTCCCCACCTTCTCTCTTTCCTTCTTTCATATTTCCGGCAGGTACTAAGCACAAAACCATGCTAGAAGCCCGGAATGGAAGCGGCACTATCAAAGCCTTTCCTAGGGCAGGAGTGAAAGGCAAAGGACCTGTTAATAAAGGAAACACAGGCCTCCAAAACAAAACATTTCACTGTGAAATCTGTGATGTGCATGTCAACTCGGAAACACAACTTAAACAGGTGGGCAGCACATCCTCTAAGAATAAAAACAGATAAGGAGACACCCTTAGAAAGAGGATATTTGTGCCTTCTTTTTATTTCTTTCCGTCCCATGCACTCACCCATCCACTGAACTATCCATCCATTCATCCACCCATCTATCCACCCACTAACCTTTTATCCTTATTTATTTATAATTATTTTAATTGCTTGAGGGAATACTAAAGTGTGATGACTCCTACAATCTTTCAGAAACTGACGGCATTGAATCTGTACTCTTATGGAATAGGAAGAGTGGGAGAAGAGTATCAGATCTTTTCTCTACCAGGTTTCCCACTCAGAAGTGTTGATTTTCTTTAAAGGTCAACTTGCAATGTTCCATTTTTACTTGTTTAGATGTTTACAAGTTACAACTAATTTTATACTGTGTGTTCTTTTATTTTATGTACTTTATTACATGGTATTACTGTATTTTTAAATCCTTCCACCACCTGCTAAAAGGATGACTAATCATGTTGTATTCATTTTTACTATGAATAGCCTTCCAAAGAGATCAATTATACATTGCCAACCAAAGGCCCAACCCTCATATCATGTTGTGTTTTGTATGTGTATGTGTGATATTTTGCTGATTTTATGCACCTTAGTTATTTATCTTTAGAATTTAAGGGGTTGGCATTTGGCTGTACAAATGTGAGGATAAATATTAGTATGGAAATAAATTCATGCCTGCCTGGGCATCTTTGTTTATTTGCACATAAAATTTCTTCAGACATTCCTTTTCTTTGTAAATGCTTTTCTTAAAAAAAAAAAAAAAAAAAGGAGATGTGTGCAGTGATAAGAAAAAGACCTGGGTGAAAAGAAGATGATTCTGTTTGTTAAATATATACTAAAATGGATAGCATAAAATTATATATCCTTAAGGCATCAGAATCCCAGAACAAAAGTGCATGCTCTTTTATTTCTGTCTTTCTGAAATTTGCATGGAAATAATCAATATATTTTCTCAGGTTAAAGCAATATTTGTGAGGTGTTTTTTTGTTTGTTTGTTTGTTTTTGAATGGCTTTTTTAAAGCTGTCATTTTTCATTGTTTTTAATAGCACATTAGCAGTAGAAGGCACAAAGACAGAGCTGCTGGGAAGCCCCCGAAACCTAAATACAGTCCTTACAACAAACTACAGAAGGCAGCACATCCACTGGGGGTGAGTGTCACTCTTTCTTCCCAAAAGATAAGGACTGTTAAGTCTTCAGCGTCACTCAATCTACTGAACTCGGATATTTGTTGTTGGTGATGGTCAGTTATCAAATGGAATAAATACAACATATCCAAGAAATGACAGACAATTGATATAAGAGTCCAACCTCTATTCCCAAACGGAGTTACTGGGTTCATAATTCATTTCAGCGTTTTGCCACTACTAGACACGGCCCAGATTTTGAGTTGAGCTCAGGTTTATCACAGAGCATAGTGCAGGGAGAAAAGCCAGGCTCTTTCAAGTCAAGTAAGTCATCTCAAAAAAATCTTGTCTTGATGTAGTGGATATACTTTATGAAAGAAGGTCAGTGAAAAACAAGTTCTTATATGCCCTTTTTGAATGTGTTTAAGAGACAAAGGATTGATATTATTGTTACCCTCAACAATTTGGGGTTTTGAGTAACACAGTCTCCAAAGTATGGCTTATTTGATTTAATTATTCATCCAAGGACACTTTATAAGGCCTGGGGAAATATATCCTGGGAAACACTCTCCCCATTACTCCAAATATGCTTGTTAGATTAGTAAGCATACTATTATGATGTCCTGACCTGGATTTTTTGGTAGGACTTTAGAGGAAATCTGTGAAACCTCTTGACATTGTCAATTAATGTTGATGAACATGTATTTTTGTTTTGTTTTGCTTTTCTGATTGAGGTGACAGTGGCTTTCTTCAGAGAAATTCAGGGCTCAGTGAAAAGTTAAGAACAACCCATCTCTAGTATGTGCTAAATTATGCATTTTGAAATCTTACTTCAACATAGATCTTAATATTTGGTGCTATTGTGTGCTGCTGACACATGAAAATATAGTTCAAGGAAAACTGCAATCATCTATTATGAGACCCCAGTGTGGGTTGACCCAATTAATTTAGTAGCATCACCCATTTTTATTCAAAGGAAGTTACTTTGCTTTTCTGCAAAGACCTGATTTTAACTGCATTGGAGGGGGTGGAGAATTCTGTGCAGAGCTGATATTTCAGCATCACTAGTCATAGCCCTGAGTTCTGTCTCTGGCCATGATAGATGCAGGTTTTGACAATGAGATAAATAGTTCTTAAATAAACAGGCAGTCAAAATTGTATTACTATAAGCGTCTAAACTGTCCCCTCCTTCATAACTATCACTGTTTTGCTGGTTCCATAAATGGGTACATTCTTTCCTTGAGAATAGGTATCTTACTGATGTAACTGGTTTTGTAGAGTAGAATTAGGATGTGGTTACTGTTTGCACAAAGAAGAAGAGGAACATGTCAAAATTAGGGGGAGATAAATTTTCTTTACTTTTTTATTCAAAGTGGAATTTTGTTATTTTTGTTTCTTTTGAATAATACCTCTCACCATTGGAAACAGTGTTCTCTGTGTTTCCCAGTTTATGCACTTGGATAGTGTAATAACAACTGAAAGCATTAACAAATCTCTCTTTTAAAGTGTCTACTTTTTGATAGCTAATGTATATAGAAGGTAGCATAATAATTTTCTATTTTTTCTCAAGATGTATACTTTCCTCTGAAAATATAATTTTCAATAAAAAATAAAATAAGATGTCTGAGTACTTTTTAGGAGAAATTTTCATCCCTGGTTGGCCATTTTCTGATATCTTCCAACTCTTCCAAAGGGAAAATATCCTATGCTTTCCATTATCTTTATTGTCAGTTCACAAGTGTGAGTTTTTCTTTGCAGTTGTTTACTGCTGTATTTTAAAACCTGCCCACCCTTTTGGATTCTATATAAAGACTCCAAAACTTCTGTTCTTTCACTCTATTTTTTATTTTTCCTTACAGGTAAAATTAGTATTTTCAAAAGAACCTTCAAAGCCATTGGCTCCACGAATTCTACCCAACCCGCTGGCAGCTGCAGCAGCTGCTGCTGCTGTGGCGGTCAGTTCCCCCTTCAGTCTTCGAACTGCTCCGGCAGCAACCCTGTTCCAGACTTCTGCACTTCCTCCAGCACTCCTGCGGCCAGCTCCAGGACCCATTCGGACCGCCCACACTCCCGTGCTGTTTGCTCCTTACTGAATTCCAAATAGGAGTCCTTGTACTGCAATAATTTTTCAAAAAACAAAAAAACACAAAACAAAACAAAAGAGAACTATGCAGTGTTTATTTATAGTTTAAAGTATATCTGAAGAGCCAGGACTTTTGATAGTGAATTGAAAAGATTATTAAAAAGGGGGGGAGGTTTGGGGGTGGGAGGGAGGGAGTGATATTTTCTCCAAATTAAAGCATTCCTCTCGAACATTGATTGTTTTAGAAGTGATCTCCAGCATTGACTTGTAGTGGTATCTAGAACTTCTGAAGCCTTTGTGACTGTGCTTTTGGGCACCTATTTCCCCCCCTGCATTGTCTTTCCTGCTTTATGAAACAACTATACATTGTCTAAGGGCATTAACTGGTTCCAATGTATATATAATAATTTACTCTGTAGATCAAAATAATACAAAAAAAAAAAAAGAAAAAAGGAAAAAAAAAAACAAACAAAAAACAAAAGCAACACTGTGAATAGTAGTACCCGTGCTGGTCCTCTTGCTATGACAGCAATTACTGGGTATTTATCCCAACAAAAGTAGATACAGTAGATGTCTTGTAAAACAATAGTGCTGTGTCTCGATCTATGCCACTAGGTTTTAAAGAATTGCAATGGTAGAATGAACAACTATTTCATACCAATAAGCAAACACCAAATGGTGTCATGCAGGTGTCCCTGGTCAGCATTTTCCTACACTATCTAGCTTGGAGATAGTACAGGGCTAAGCTTAGAGGTGGAGGAGACATTAATAGAAATGATCTCTTACAAAATACTAATTTCTCACCCTGAGGAAATATTGCTCGAAACAGGCAAGTGTTTGTAGTGAACCTATATTTGAAAACAGATGAATCCACGCATCATGAGTGTTTAGGAAGAAATCAGTACAACTATTCTGTTACAAGGATGAGGGACAATCATAACCTATGATAATGCAAAGCAAAGATCTTTCATGTTAGTACATACCCAATAAAACAGAGAATATTGCATCTTTGCAATATCCCCCTTTATATCATACCAGTAGGGTTGTCTCTTAGGCAAAGTTTTCTGCTTTAAGTATGATGGTAGAAGTAAGCATTAGCTATTATTGTGGGGTTTTTATTGTTTTTTTTTTTAGATGTCCTACTGACATGATATAAACAATTAATATATATTTAAATGTTAGTAACAAGAAAAATGAATCTGAGTTAATTGCACACCAATGATATAGTGTTAAAAAAGATACTGGTAAGGTCCACTTGACCATCATTTCTCCAGTGGAGTTGTGAAATACTGACAGCCTTTTATATTTACCAAAAGGCTGAAAGGAGCTGATGTTTTACCTTTAAAACAAGATTTATCAGGGGTATATATAAATATATGTATATTGTATATATGTTAGAAAGATTAAGAGAATAACTTATAAAAAAGAAAATCTATATAAAATAATTATATAACCATCCAGTGTTACATGTTATCATTAAATTGGTAACAAATGGCATAAAAATAGCTGTGCCTTTAATTTGTGATAAAGGCTATTTGCTTTTTCCCTTAGAAAGCTAACATATACCTATCAATATGGTGGAGTTTGATGCAGCTAGTCTGTTGCATTAATAAGAAAAATGACACTCAATCTTAGAACAGTGATAAAACATATAAAAATCAACCCTACATGATTTAGGTTTAGAGAAAAAAAAACTATTTTTTAAAAGGTTTTGTAAAGACTATTTAAAAATACAGGGAAGGGCTGAACATGGACTTCCTGAAACTGCTCTCAAACTGTTGTAACCTTTGGAGAGGTATAAAGAATCAAGAGGGAATCATTTGAGAGATAAGTATTTCGCATTTGTCATTTTATATTTAAGAAACATCCATAGCGTGCTTGGTGCTCAACATTAAACATGATCTTTGGAGTTCTTCTCCACCATCTAGCTATAGAAATTTGTCATATAAACATATCTTTAAAGCAGTTCACTTTATATATCTTTTGTTAAACAAACAACCAAAACAAAAAGACAAAAAAAGAAGAAAAAAAGGAAGGAAGGAAGAAGAAATGAAAAGACAATGTATTCCATCAATCTGGTAAAAAGAATTTCGAACCATGCCTCTCTAGTTAAACATTGAATAGCATTCAAATTTGTTTTTGAAAGTATCCAGTTATATTATTGCATTTACCAACATTTCTATTCTCTGGTTTTAGCAAGTGTTTCCTTTTTCACCTACAGACCCTGCTAAGGTCAGCCAGGTGGACTCTATATCCCATGTGACAAGCTTCTAAATGTTTTAAGCTTTAGTTTCCTTTTTCTGCTGTGTCAAATATTTTTTTTATCTTTCATAATCATCTGAATCTCTACCCAACAACCTTTACAACTGATAAAGGTTGGAGAACTTCGCATTAATTAATGCAATCTTACTACAATGTGCTTTCACTGTTCTTCCCCATTTTCACCAAAGTGAATGAGCCAGTTCACTAGAAATCAGGGTCTGTGGGATACAGAGTCCTGAGTCATAAGGCATTACTAACTTTAATGATTTTCTGGGAACAAACAAATCAGCCATATTTTCTCCATCAGCCATATGAGAAAACTCAGAAATACCTGGATCCCTTCTGCCTCACTTCGCTATGGAACCATTTTTGTTTAAATGGTCTTTTAAATTGGAGTTGTAAGCATCAGTTGTCTTTTACTCACTACCTAATAAAGGATGAAGCCTAACCATAGAACTTATAGTGGATTCTCTGTGAGTTGTTTCCCCTCACTCCACATATTTATCAATACCAGATCAACATCCGTTATAGCTCAGGCTGCTATAAAGCTGTATCTTTTCCCTTAGGGAACTTTTTTCACAAATAAAGATCTACAATTTAGATTGGTCAGTAGGGGTGCTGTGACAATCCCCATGGGTTGTCTGACTTTATGGTTATACATCCCTTTCTGGGCATCACACCCATGGCAAAGAAAGTAATAGAGAAAGCATCTCTGATTCATTTGAAGCAAATATAAATGCATTACAAGAGCCAAATGCCTCTGGATAAAAGCATTGTGCACCTCATCTAGGTCATCCAGACAAATGGGAAACAGTCATTGAGGAGATCATGTATTTCTCTTCTGAGAAAACAGGTGATTACGCATGACAAATTGCTCCTCTCACTGCTCCTAAACTTTGAAGAGTAGTTGTTTTATTCACATAAGTAAACATGCTTGGTTTATGCAATTTATATCACAACTGTTTCATTGGAAAGGATCCCTATCTTTAGGTACTACTGGGCTTCTGATGTATTGTGATAATTCACTGCCATTATCATCAGAGATATAATTTGGTTTTTTGAAAGTAGCTACATATTTTGTTGCCAAGGAACTCTTTAGCAAAGAGAGTGTTTATACTCATTTGGGAATGAAAAGAGCAGGAAATCATAAAACAAAGGATTGAGAATTGAAAGACAGTGGAATTTTAAAAATAGAATCAAAATACACTGTGGATGTGCCCATTTGAGTTTCTAAGGCACACACCAATACATACTGGACATGGACATTAACTTTCACTTACTTACAATTAAATTTTAGATTCATATCTTTGTCTCTGTACCCGTGTAATGTTTCAGCTTTTTTGAACAAATCACATCACAAAGCTAAAGGATAACTGAAGTTGTTTAGAGGCCTCTTTCATTAAAACTGAGTTGATGTAGAGAATTTTTTGTACATGAGCATAAATGATTTGTGCTAATAACTATTTGTACACAAGACAGCAGCATGAAGTGGTGGGAAAAACAATGAGAAGCCTGAAAGAAGGCAGAGTCTATTGTAGACTTTGTCCCCTACCAGCAGGGTAACTTTAAATAGTCAGCTAATGCCCTGCCCTTAATCTCTTTATCAGTAAAATGGATGAGGGTGATTAAAGGCTGAGCTGGTTTAATATATCAGCACTAAAGGACCACTTCTTTCAGCCTCTCAGGAATAAGACAGCTTTCTTGAAGTGAACAATATAGCTACTCAAATACTTGCACATGTCTAGAAAAATGTTTTGTACTTCTTTCCATATCGAGTGTATATCACAGGGTAGGTCATTTGTCTCCTGAAACAGAATGATGATTTCACCACCTAATATTGGAGGAGTTGCTAAATTACTCATTATTCACTTATTATTGGACTTATACCAAAGTCATGTGAGATACGCTGCCTCTCTTTTCCCAGTCTAGAACATAATAAATTCTGAACAAAACCAACCCAAAAAGAGCCATAGAAAGCTCACAGGGTGGGTGTGGAAGGGAGCAACAATTTAAATGCCTCGTCCTTATTACTTTTGTTGCACTTTCTCTTTTCAGTAGAAAGGGTCCCCAACTAAGCCATAACTAATTCTGACTTGAGTTTGCATGTATTTCAGCTAATGACCACCTTAATAAGACCATTTCTTCCATAGCCAAGTATATCAGTTATGCACTCTTGCCATTATTACAAAATTTATTTGAACTGAGTCCTGACAGTGAATGCTTTACTTAGCGATTGCTGTTGGTTTTTATTAAACAGTGAGATGTATTTATGGAGCATCTCTTCTGATCTCTGTGTGTTATGCTTCAATAACTAGAGAGACTAGTAGCAGGAGGTGAAATGGATCATTTATATAGCAGGTCTCCATTGCCTGCTTGCTAGTTCTGATAGTGGTATCAGGACTTACAGTGAAAGATGGATATGTTGATATATCATCCTCACATGGCCTGCAAGGTTGTTACTTCCAGGAATGAATGTATAGCTTACCAGATGATGAATGGCGATGAAAGGGAGGTTCAACACTGGAAAAACCTCATATGTGCTACTTGATTAGAAGTCCATGCAGGTCATGAAAGGTCACAGAGTTTAAAGATTTCTCTGGTTGAGTCATCAATGTTCAGGTCTCAGAGGACAGAATTAACTTCAATTTAAGGGTCTCTTTTGTCTTCTTCTCAGTGATGGAAACCCATCCTTTCTAGATGGCTGAGTTGACTTTACAAACTGACAAAATGCATTTGTCAAATGAAGTGAAACCTGATGATTAATATTTATGATCAAGTAGAATATCTTAGCATTTGATCAACTCTACTAAGACTATAAAGAATGAGATCATGTTCTTTTCATGACTGACAGGTCATTTGTAAAGGCAATTTCCAAAAAGTGGGGCTAAAATGTTTTGTGTAAAAAGAAGTACAGTTAAAAATAAGTGATTGTACAGTGACAAGTTCTAAGGTAAATGCTTACACACATACATGCATACTTTTTAAAATATGAATCTCAATATCTTTTATAACTTGTCATCCTCTTTTAAAGCCATGGTAAACCTTTTTATTTACACTTATTAGGTTGGTTTTATTTTAAGAATGGAAATTCTAATTTCACACTTGGGAATCTTAATCATTTTAGGGCATTCAAGAGGTTGGCAAATTGATATCATGTCAAGGTACTATGCTCTCTAGCAAGATTATTTTGCTAGCAGTTGAGTTGGGTAATGCAATTGTATCATTTCATACAAGCTACTGACTTTAAATATAGAATTTGAATGCTTATTGAGTCTTTGTCAAATCCAAGTAGTGTGCAGGATATGGTAAAACAGGACTAAAGAAAATTAGCAAAGAGAGCCTCTATTAGAGGCACAAATTGCATTTTTGCTAGTAAACAATTATTTTTTAAAAGTTCTTCAGCAATAATATAGTCTCACATAAATCCATTAAGAAACAATGTTGTTATGGAGTTTTGAAGCCATAGCCAGGGTGTGTGGAATTTTATTCATCAAAAATAACAATGTGGGTTTTATTGGACATTTGTCAACCTAAGATACATTATTATATAATTTCAGTATAAGACACTAGCAGTAGGGGTGGCTTAATATTAGATAAAGACCCTTCATGAAATGCTTTATGTCTATTATGACTTTGAGCTAGTATAAGTAGAAACAAAAAAGCAGTTAAGCTCTTGAGATCCTGGAAAGTTTAACTTTTATCAAATAGTCAAGAAGAATTTCATTTGATGGCATGTGGTTTTTAAGGGGATTGGAGAAAAATGTGTGGAAGTGTTGGGTATTGAAGAAAGCCTTGTGGCCAAGGGAGCTCGGCACAGGAGTGAGCATCACAGAACAGTGAGCACAGTTGCTGGCCTCACCACAAGTTATCTGTGAGGAAACTGGACCCACTCAGTTGGTATTTCAATGATTCTTTTCTGATAAAAATAGGGATAATAATCAATTGCATAGATGTGCAAAAAAAAAAAGCCAAATTTTTAAAAAGCAGGTTATTTTTTGCCACTCAAATTGGTTTCAAAAATCTAAACTATATTCCTATAAATTTCAATGATTGCTTTAAAATGCTATATACTTACAGTGTTTATATTCCTACATATTTAAAATGAAACTGATCGGATGCCAAAGCTACATAACATGTAGCTACATTAGCTACTCTGTTTTGTCCTGAAAAAAAAAACAAACTATTTTTTAATACTCACGTGAAGCTAAATGTGAAGAGCATTGCTTTTCTTGGGAAATTTATTAGTCATATTTTTTTTCATTTCTATTAGTTGAAGTCTGCTGTCAGTTTCAACTAAGGTCTCCTTATTTAATTGTAGTCAATCATTTCTTCTAGTAATATTTCATTTACTGGACTTAACCAATTAATTTTGAATTGACTCCTAAGAGTGGTCAGTCATAGGAAAATTTAATATCAGCCAATGTATGATGAAATATTCAGCTCTCACCAAAACTGGATGTTTGGCAATCTTACATAGGTTATTATTAACAATTAGACTACAAATAAACCCTATCAAATGAATTGAGTGATAACTGTTTTTATTTATCAACCTGAATCAATTTGGACTTTAGTTTCCAAATCTAAAAATAGCTTAATCCACATACATTTAATACCTGCAAATTAAAGGCAGTATGGTGTGGTTTCCTGTAGGTTTTGTTCTTTTCTTTTCTTTTCCTTTTCTTTTCTTTTCTTTTCTTTTCTTTTCTTTTCTTTTCTTTTCTTTTCTTTTCTTTCCTTTTCTTTTCTTTTCTTTTCTTTTTTGGACAACCAAGCTTCTTATTGAAAACTTTGGCATTGACATTGAAAAAATTGAATATGATTTTGAAATTAAAAAAAAAAAAGACTGTGGTTTGTTCTATATGTGTGTAAGCCTGTAAAAAGTAACTTACGGGAAAAATGTCCATGTGATTTTTCTCCCCTTATATTCTTATGGCTTAGAGAACATAATTAGGGCTTTATCCAATATCAATCTATTGGCAAAAGGTTTTATAAGGTTTCACCTGATAACAACAATACCTCATTTTAAAAAGCATTACTACAAATACTGGAAAGAAGTACAGTAGATATGGCTATTTTTATTTTATAAAAACAAACAAAACTGAAGATCAAAAAAGTTGGCTTGTCTATGGTCAGTAGTCATATAGACATGGAGTTCTGATTCATCTATTAGCCATGGTGATGTTGTCTTAGTGTAGAATTTGCATGTTCAGTTATTTGTACATTTGGAAGCTTGACTTAAGCTAAAACTCTCAGGATGCAAGTTTATGCCACTTTATTAGCCCACATGTTCTGTAAATGACTTTGCTCTTTACATCTTGCCAAATCATGCTCAATAACCTTTCATTAGAGGTTGTAGATGTCCCCAGGTGGGCTTGGACACTTGAGATGAGATTTTATTTTCTTTTACATTATGATAGTTGAATGATGATTATCTATGATACTGCTATATTTATTATTTTAATTAAAGCCCCCAAAAACTGTCCCTTGTATGCCAGTAAAGCATTAAGTTTTAAAAAATAATAGTGATAATAATAATCAAGGCAATTCACATAACTTGTTTTGTTCCAATCTTCTGTTTTAAGTCATATAATAATATCTCCCCAGTCATATAATAATATCTCCCCATATGTCAATAATTCCTCCAATATAAAATGAAGCTGCTATCAGTATTATTGACTCATAAATGTAAACTATAGCACATTTTATCTTGTCTGTGGTTTTGTATTAAGCTAAACTTGCAGCTGTGAAAAAATTAATCTTTATTTTTATCAGGAATTATTGAAGAAGAACTTCTCAGTTTTAATTAAAGAAAGACAAAATGATATTTTTATGTGATGGAAGCTGCCTTGTTCCTTCAACAGCTCTATAAACATCCTTACCCATTATCTCCTCTCTCTTTAACAATATTAAAATTGTCCAGGTAAATGTAACATTGCCAGTGGTTTCAGGATATTGGTACATTTATGTTGTGTTCTTCACTTAGTTCATGAAATAAAGATGGTTGCTTATTTTCCTCTCTTGCATACATACTACGATAAATCCAATTTGGAAAACATTTTTTCTTCTTGATTTAAGTTTTAAAGCTCATTGGAAGAGGAATATTAGAACAAATTATGTATTCTACATGTTCTACTCCACTTGTTTGTAATATCCGACTGTTATGAGAAGTGCAGCAAACACCTACGCAACACAATTGTTTCAAGTGCCAAGTAAGATTTTGAGTGACTCACAGAACATGTGTCTCATGACTGTTTCTCAGAAAAATGTGTTGTTTGAAGGAAGAAAAGTAAAATATTTTATTTTCATTCTGCTCTGAATGATTCCTGTTCCATTGTTCCTTCTTTCTCCCTTGTTAGATATACAAGAGCTCTCATCGTTAAACTGACCATTTAGTACATTTCAATTAAGTGTGAGACACAAAAGTAATTTTACTTATAACTTTGAGACCTTCTGGTTGGCCTCTGCTGAAATGAGGTTTCACTGCATACAAGAGTTTGGAAAAATGATAGTCCATGTTTTCATAGGGCTAAAACTTTTTTGAAATTTTAATTAGCTCCCAAGCATCTTTTTAAAATAATAATAACAATAATAACAATTTTTAGAATGGGAATTTCTGATTTTACTTGAAAAATTACAAAAATCTGAGAGCCCTGGTACTGAATTCCTATTAGGCAAGCATTAGCTGCAGTTGAACTGTGACTACCCCAATTGGACAAAGAAGTTTGTCCAACTACAATCCGCACCAGCAGGCCTTAGTCCTTGCTTTTCGCCAGGTGTCTATAATCATTTGGTTTGCAAACCCCAGGATGGGTTATTGGTTCTCAGCTACCATATACTCTTTTGCCAGCTACTTTTGAAGGTCTTTTCCATTCCTCTACCCACTCTCCCAATTCATTATCACTAGGTTCATGTTGCAATGCTTTTGACTTTTTTTGGATAGGCATCTTCTATACGGGGAAATATTTTGCAAATAACACCTTTCAGTAAGGGGTTCTTTCACCAGAATATGACCTGTGAAAAAATTAATGACTTCACTATATGTCAGATTTCTTGGAGTTGACACCACAGATAGATGATTATATTCAAGAACGAAATTATGTCATTTTCTTTGGGTTTCTCTACAGGAAGGTTTGGCTTCTGTTTATAGCAGAATTTGGATTTTAAGAAGATGATAGCCCATTTGTCCATAGGGCTAAAATTTTTTAAAAATTTAATTAGCTCCCAAACACCAAGCATATTTCACATGTAAATAAATCTTTATCTATTTTATTTTTCTTTAAGTTAAATATGAAGAAAAATTCAGATTTAATATTTCTGAACACACATTTGCTGAATAATTCTGATTCTTTCAAAGGCCACTGCCACTCTTTCCCAAACACATGTAACCTGTCAGATTAACAGTATAAAAAATGCATATAAAAATATTTTATAAACTTTTTTGTTATAGTTTTTTTTGAGATAGAGTCTCACTCTGTTGCCCAGGCTAGAGTGCCATGGCATCCAGCCTAGCTCACAGCAACACCTGGGTTCAAGCAATCCTGCATCAACCTCCCGAGTAGCTGGGACTATAGGCATGCACCACCATGTCCAGCTAATTTTTCTATATATTTTAGTTGTCCAGCTAATTTCTTCCTATTTTTAGTAGAGACAGGGGTGTTGCTCTTGCTCAGGCTGGTCTCGAACTGCTGAGCTCAAAGGATCCTCTCGCCTTGGCCACTCTGAGTTCTAGGATTACAGGCATGAGCCATCATGCCTGGCCTTTATCAACTTTTAAAACAATCCCCATCCTCCCCACATTTAGGAGCAGCATGTAAAATATAGAATTATGCATAGCATGCTAAATGTCTATCCTTTTCATCTGACTGAGCAATAAACTGACCTAATTGACATTGATACTAGCATCTATAGTTTTGAAATTGCTAGTTATCTAATAGTAAAGGTTTCTTTCATGTTGTTTTGCTTAGAAATAATAATAAAAATAAACCAGGGCTGTTCATAAGTTTTTGTTGAGTATGCCAAGCCAAGAGCCCATGCCAAAGCTAGATTTGGAATCTTGAATAACATACAACTTCACATTTTTCAAAGTGTGTTATCCAGGCATTGTGAATAATTTCTGGCCAAGTCCTAGGAAATTGTTCATGGTGTTTCTAAACATAGCCTGGGAATTGTTATGCTGAAGCTAAAACCAAATGTCAACTAAGGTCTGATGCTGGGGAAGACAATTAGAACATTACTGAATTACCCTCCTGTTAGAGACTTCACCTTCAAAAGCTAATTATCAGTTTATCATGTTTTATTCATTAATTGGAATTATTTTCAAGATTGTCAGTGCATTTCAGGTGGGTTGGGTTATGATGGGAAAAACTACATAAACATACCCTCTGCAAGTTTGTGATTTATTTAGCCAAAGATGCAGAACTTAATGGAAGCAAAGTGCTATACAGGGTAGGGGAAGAGGTGGCCTATTTTGGCCACTGTTTCCTTTCCTCTAGATTCCTTCTAGGTGAGAAGTAGTAGAGACAGGGGCATAGTTGCCTGGGACACTTGGTACATGTAGGTTCTGCCAGATTTATGAAGAAAAGTCCATTTTATGTTAACAAATCGTCATTGTATATTCAGGTATGTTAGTTTCCTTGGGCTGCTAAACCAAATTGTCACAAACTTGGGTAAGTTAAAGCAATAGAAATTTATTCTTTCATATCTCTGGAGGCTAAAAGTCCAAAATCAAGGTGTTGGCAATATTGGTTCTGTCCTAGGGCCTCAGGCTATATTTGTCCTCATTTTTTTTGTTGTTTTGTTTCTCAAAATTCTGACCCTTGCTATGAATGCCAAATCTCATAGATTGTCTTAAAGGGTTAGATCTCCTGGAAGGAGAGCTTGACATGGTTTCTGATGACAATTCGTTGTTATTGAGGAATTGCTATCAGGGGGAACAAATAAAGGAAGCAGAATAGGGCTAGAGAAGAAAGCTAAGGACTAGCTTCAGATTGGTCTTATAGGAAGCTCTGAATATTTCTAGTAATCCTTTAAAATAGTAATGATCATTAACATAACCCAAGGATAAGGTATGAAAAGAGATCAGTTAGAAAAAAAGAGATGAGTAACATCAATTCTTGGGACCATTACAAGTCATAGGTCATTTAGGTAGGCTGATCAGTCATTCTAGTTTGCCTGGAATACTTCCAATTTATGCCTGTTACATGCTGCAGTCATTAACATTGCTTCATTGTAAGCTCAAAAATGTCCTGGTTTGATTGATAAAGTGTACTTTTGACTCTTCTTTTCCCAATTTATAAAATGAGTGGGTTGAAATATATAATATATATTATGTATATATAATATATATGAAATATATAATATATAAGAAATTTTCCAATAATGAAATTTTATGTATAGTACCTTCTATTTAATAAAATGTGTTTCTTTTTGAGTAAATCCAATTGGGGAAGACACAGAATATTTCCCCTAGAGCATATTTTAAATTACAAATAAAATTATTACAAATAAAGTATCTTATTTGTTCATCCATCCACCCTCAGGCCATCTGTTCATGCATCCTTTATTAATATGCAATTATAATATACCCTAAACTATAATGGATAAGGGAGGGAAAGGTAACCAAAACATATTCAGTGCAAGGCTCTATGGCAAATGCATATTTTATTTCATCTTCTCAATGATCACAGGATCAAAATATTACCACCCCCTATTAGGAATATGAAATATATAATATCATGGAGGTCAAACATTTGCCTCAAGATAAGCAGTAAGGTGGAAGATAATATTTAAATCAAGAACTTCAGGCCAGATGCGGTGGCTCACGCCTATAATCTTAGCACTCTTGGAGGCCAAGGGGGAAGGATTGATCAAGGTCAGGAGTTGAAAACCAGCCTGAGCAAGAGCAAGACCCCCGTTTCTACTAAAAATAGAAAGAAATTAATTGGCCAACCAAAAATATATAGAAAAAAATTGCCAGGCACGGTGGCACATGCCTGTAGTCCCAGCAGCTCAGGAGGCTGAGGCAGGAGGATTGCCTGAGCCCAGGAGTTTGAGGTTGCTATGAGCTAGGCTGATGCCAAGGCACTCTAGCCCAGGCAACAGAGTGAGACTTTGTGTCAAAAAAACTTCAATGACTAAATTTTTTTTCTACTTTCAAATCAATAGAGGACTTACCATACATTCACACACACAAACACACACACACACACACACACACACACACACACACAGGTCTGTTTCTTGAAAATACAAAAAAAAAAATTTGATATTTTCAAGGAACAGACCTCTGTGTGTGTGTGTGTGTGTGTGTGTGTGTGTGTGTGTGTGTGAATGTTTGATAAGTCCTCTACTGATTTGAAAGTTAATGTCAAGGTGGAAATGTCTATGCATGTATTTATGTATGCTGGGAGGTATTCAGCAATTTTTATTTAGAAACAAGAATATGTTTCCTAATGTGAAGTTCTTAGGTTTAGAAATAATAATAGCTACCATTTATTAAGCTCTTATAATTGACCAGACCCTTTATATATACAATATTATTTAATTTTGATAAAAACTTCATAGAGGTAACCTTTATGAATTTATGAAAGAGATAGCTGATGGCCTAAGAAGTTAAGCAATTAGGGCAAGACCAAATAGCAAGTAAGTACTACAGTAGATATTTAAACCCAAGTAGTGTAGTCTTGCTTCAAGGCCAATTGCACCTTCCACTCTATTTAATCATCTCCTTAATTAATGAATATTTAATTAGTGAGCATTAAAGGTAGTGATGCCAAGATTTTTACTATTAGGTCCAACCATTTAATTCATCCATCCATCCATCCATCTACTCAATAAACATTTCTTGATGTAGTACATTGCTGGGTAATTGGGCTTGAAAGAAAAAAAGTCTAAGACATAGCATTTGTCTTAAGAAGTTCACTTTTTAAAAAGGAAATGGACATGCAAACAAATAAATCTGGACTATGCCAGGGGGCTACCCAAAATGTTATGAGAACTAAAAGAGGGAGTACTTTCCTCCTAGGTGGAAGGGGAAAACGGAGGTCCAGGAAGGCCTTCCCTGTGAGAGAACATTTCAGAGAGTTGAAAGGCCAGCTGAATTTTGTCTTGAGCCACGAAGAATGGATCCCATTATCTCTCTAAAAGAAGAAGTTCTTGTCTTCAGAGGCTGGGCAAGTATTCTTCAGGCAGACAGAGACATTTGTACAGGGGGAGCCTGGCCTATGTTAGAACAACTCACTGTGGCCTAGGGAGAGCATGTGCACTGGGGATGAGGTGTATATGAAAATAGGGATATTTGGCATTCCAATAGAGACTG